GACTGTCACAATTATAAATGTAGAAGTTTTGTAACAAAAAGAAGGGGAGTGGTTAATCTTACAGTCCAGAAACAGAGGATCCAAGGACCATCATGAGAGGACCACACAAATAGAATGTGGGACCTTATCCAGAGAAGCAGCAGCGCCAGAGAGGGAGGCAGAAATGGAGGCATGGAGAGGGGGTGTGGCTGAGGACTCTAGATTCATCAACAAAGAAGAGAAGGACTAAGAGCTGGTGGCCAGGAGCAGACCTGCAGAATGTGCCCTTTGGAGATGTAAATTATTATATATGCCTGAGTGGGTTTTGTTTGTTTGTTTGTTTGTTTTAAAAAGCTGAAGTGGATAGAGAGACATACCATTAACTGATGGTACATGGAGGGGATTATAATCATTGTAATGAAACAAGGTATATAATTTGTTGAATGTTAAACTGATGATATGCCCTGTAAACTTTTTTATTCAATCCACAATAAAAATCTTAAAAAAAAAAAAAAAAAAAATTGGAGAAATATTTGCAAATTATATATCTTATAAGGGACTTATACCTAGACTATATAAAGAAGTCTTACAATTTAATAATAAAGACACATAATCCATTTTTAAAAAAGAAATCTCAATAGATATTTCTCCAAAGATATACAAAGAGCCAATAAACATATGAAAAGATGCTCAACATCAAAATTCATTAGGGAAACACAGATCAAAATCCAAATGATTTTTTGTTTCGTCGTAAGTAATTCATTTCTTGCTGTTGTTGAAACTATACACAGCAGAGCACACACTGATTCAATAGTTTCTATACATACAATTCGGTGACGACAACATTCTCTGAGTTGTGCAAATGTTCTAACCTTCCTTTTCTGAGTTGATAACCCCCGCCCATTAATGTAAAATTACTGCTCCCTGAGGTCCCTAGCTAATCTTATGAGTTGCTGTTGTCAATTTGATCCTATTTAGATAGCTGGGTGTTTTTTTTTAATTTATTTATTGTAATTGTGTGAAAGTCTACAGGACAGATCATCAGTTTTACATTCAACAAATCATACCCCTGTTTCATTACAATGATTATAAGCCTCTCCAGGTACCATCAGTCAACAGTATTTCTCTCTATTCATTTTAACTTTTTCTTTTTCTTTTTTTTTTTTTTTAAACACTCAGGCATATATAATAATTTACACCACCAAAGGGCACATTCTGTAAGTCTGCCTTCTGGCTGCCATCTCTTAGTCCCTCTCTTTCGATGAATCTAGAGTCCTCAGCTGCTCCCTCTCTCCATGTCTATCTCTGACGTTGCTGTTTCTCTGGATAGGGTCCCACATTCCACTTGTGCTCTTCTCTCTTGGTGGTCCTAGGGCCCTCTGTTTCTGGACTGTAAGATTAACCACTCCCCTGTTATTGTTACAAACTTCTACCTTTTCAATTGTGACAGTAGCAGCAATTAGTCATGATAACAATTACTCACTATTGAATCATAAGAATCTTATTCCCATCTCTTTTCACCAGACCCATCTAGACAAGATGAAAACTATTCAGTGGGGACTCTATCTTCCCCACACACACTTAAACTAAACTCCCTCTTGAACCTTGTAAGCCATTCACATCATGCCTTTGTCACCCCCTCATCAAAATGAATTCTTGACATTCACTATGATGGCTATTAAAAAGCAAAAAAGAAAAAAAGACAATAACTAGTGAACTAGGGTTGGCAAAGATGTGGAGAAGTTGGAACTTTCATATACTGGTGGGGGGTTGAAAAGTGGACAGTCAGTTTAGAAAACAGCTTGACACCTCCTCAAAAAAATTCAGCATTGAGTTACTATATGACCTAGCATATCTGTTGTTTTTGTTGTTAGGTGCCATCAAGTTGTTACCAACTCACAGTGACTCTATGCACAATAGAATGAAACACTGCCTGGTCCTGGGCTAACCTCACTATATTGTTGCCACACTTGAGCCCATTGATGCTACCACTTTGCCAATCCATCTCGCTGGGAGTCTTCCTCTTTTTCTCTGACTTCTACTCCTAATGAAATGAAAACATATGTCCACACAAAAACATGTACACAAATGTTCATAGGAACATTACTGATATCAGTAAAAAGAAGAAACAATGAAATATCAACTGATAAATGGACAAATAAAATGTGACATATGCATAGGATGGAATACGACTCAGCCACACAAAGGTATGAAATCCTGATAGATGCTATAGCTTGAATGAAACTTATAAACATTATGCTAATGGAAGAAGCTATCCTAAAACATTTTTACATTTATATGAAATATCAAAAAACTGTAAATCCACAGAGACATAAAGGAAGCTAGTAGTTGTCTAGGGCTAGATGAGGAGTCCCTACGTGGTGTAAATTGTTAGCAATCAGCTAGCCATTTGTCCTGGTGTGGCACTGTGTGATGAAGCACTAGACTGCAAGGTTGGTTTGAACCTCAAGGTTAGCGATTCAAACTCACCAATGGCTCCTTGGAAACCGTATACAGGGTTGCTATGAGTTAGAACTGACCTGGTGGCATTTAACAACAACAACAACAAAAAGGATGAGTGGTTTCAGTTAATCCATAAACAGCTCAAAAGAAAGGCCTGATGATCTCATTCAAAAGATTGTTGTTGTTGTTGTTAAGTGTCATCGAGTTGGTTCCGACCCATAGCGACCCTGTACTGAATTTCTAATGAAGCACAGTTCTACTCTGAAACACAAGGAATCATCTTTAGTTGTTTGCCTAACTTATGTTCATTGAGCTGAAGGTAAGTAAGGAACAAGAAACCTGAAGGTTTCAGACAGGAAACAACAACAAAAAAAAACCATTTCCTCATCCTCCCTGACCAAGTCTTTCAAATGTTCTTCCTGAAGTATCATATTACTTGGAGAAACACTCTTAACCACACCTTCTGACATTTCTCAATATTTGCATGAGTGAAAGAGTCTAGAACAATCTGAAGGAGGAGCTTACTAACACTATTCTCTGCCCAATAAATACCCAGCTAAATCATCACCGTCCAGGGCACTGTTGGAGAGATGAGACAATTATACCAGCTGCCCCTACTGGGGCTCCTATTGGTGTTCCTTATTCCGAGCCAACTATGCAAGATCTGTGGTGAGTACACCTCGTGCTAAAATTCCTCTGGTGTCAGTCTCTTGACAACTACTGACAGGAGACTTTAGAATTGCTTTTTACCAGACCTTGTCCACTTCTATACATGATTGGATGCTAGTAGTGACATAAAGGTGCTGAGGAAAGTCCCATGAAGAATGCTTTAAGAGAGATCAAAGATTCAACATTAACTTGCCTGACTCTTCTTCCTACGTGTTCCTACGTGTCCTGTCTACTGTAGTATTCCTAGCAAGTAATTGTGTATTCTTGTTCATTTCAACGACAGAAAATTGATTGATGGTCCTAGAAATTTTTCAAAATCATGGAACAATACCTTTTGATTTTGAGTTACAATGAATTTTCTGAAGTTTGACTCATGGGTTTTGGGATCACCCCTAGTAGCCACACAGGAAAAATATAATAATAATCTCCTTTAAATTAAGGAAGATTATTCTCTTGTTTGGAATCCTGGTGTGGCGCTATAGGATAAACAGTACACTGAAAGTTCAGTTTGAACCTCAAGATCGGCAGTTCAAATTCACCAGCTGCTCCTTGGAAACCCTATACAGGGTTAGTATGAGTCGGAGATGATGCAACAGCACTTAAAAACAACAGCACTCTATCATTAATTAATTTAGATGCTCCAAACTGCATAACTCTCTTCCTTTAATTCTTTCCCATAAAACATGGATTAAAATCCCCATCACCTCTCCTCATAGTGTTGGCTCCAGAGATTATATGATCATATACAAGGAGCTCTGGTAACACAGTATTGGACTGCTAACTGTAAGGTCAGTCAGCAGTTTGAATCTACCAGCCACGCAACCGCCATAAAAATTTACAGCCTCAGAAACCATATAACGGGTCTCTACAGACTTCTCTGAGTCCAAATCAACTCGAAAGCTCACAGCAGCACTAAAGAAGGCTAAACCAGGGTGAGGAAAACTAGGTTTAGGTCTTCTTTGAACCCTTAGTTACTGTATGACCCAATGTTTCTGAACTTCTTTTGTTTCCTCCATAAATTCAGGATGATATGTTCAGGAGGTTAAAGCAGATGATCTGCTAAACTCTCCTGTAGCTCTCAGGACCACGGATTCGCTTCTGTGAGTCTTTGTCCTAGATTTACAAACCAACTCAAAGATGACTGGGTGATGGTATCTGTGACTGTATCTTCCTGGTAGTCTGTAGCCAACAACAGGAGGAGCTCAATACTACAGAAGACAGGCTTGTATTCATATAGTCTTCCAACTTTCATTTTTCTTCCAGTAATTTTCCCTGTTGTGTCCTGAAAATAGGGAATCCCTATGGAGGCTCTGATGTTCAATTCATTGAAGAAAATCATTAACTTTGTCCTTAGTGGTCAAGGAAGCTGATTTTAATTGCACTTGGAGCTGAAAAGTCTGTGTCACTGCCAGGAAATCTGCTGAACTCGATGCTTCTACGAAATATCAGACAGCTGACTCACAATAGCTCCATTGTGTCTGCAGCAAAATCTTGCCCTTTCTGCAGTCACTCCATTCAGGTCTTCATGACTCTTCTAAAGTGAAGAAAGGTGGGCAAAAGAAATTCACCGTCCCTGAATCCTTAGTGATAGAAACTCCATTTTGAGCTGGAGGTAATAATGTGACCGCACTTTACAGTTTATTAAGTGTCAAATTGCTTGTCCAAATACCTGTGAAATCTGCGTTAAAATGTATAACTCCAGAATAAGGAAACTGAGAGCCAGGGAAGTTACATAACATACCCACAGTCAGATGCTGAGGAGCACAGAATTCAGTCAAGGTCTAACAAAATCCAAGCTTCATGCTCTGCTCAGGATGCCGCTAAGCCAAGAGATCATCTGGAGACGCATTGGGCTTGTGGCTACTTCTTAGAATTATGGACAAAGAATATTTAGAAATTGTTCATCATTTTAAGTACTAAATTCATCTTATTCTCCCTCCAGTTGTTTGTGGGCACTATGCTTTCTTTTAACTTCCACCACTTCCTTCTATCTTCACTCCCAGGATTTGGATATGCTCTAAGATAAAACCGGGGAATTTTCTCAACTGCCTACACTGAATAATGATAACTTTTTGCCTATCCAGTTGGACAAGCAGGCAATGTAGTTTGGGGGTCAACCACCAATGTCGCCTAGCAGCTTTGCCTACATCTCCTCAGGTGAAAAAGAAACAACTGAACCCAAAAAGTAGAAAGGGCTACAGACTGGGATTCTAATATCAGCTAAGCCTCCAACTACCAAGGTTTCTTTAGCATATCCTCGCTAGCCTTCATTTCAAAAATGGGAAATGATCTTCTGTGTTCCAGGAAGGATTGATGCTCTTCTAATATGCAATGTTAAAGCGATACAGTTTTATACTATTGAAATATTTCCATTCTTGGTGGTAAAGGAAGTAACACCTGGTATTGCTGGAGCTCTAGACCCCACCCCTGTATTGTTCCAGCTGTAGTCAGTATCGTTCCAGCAATACAGCCACTGGGTTGGTGCCATGTCTGTTACTAAATATGTTCATATCACCCCTGTTCCTTTAATATTTTCTGTGTATGTGGTTCTTATTTCCTCTTCCACAGAGGTAAAGAAAGACAAACAATTCTATCTAAACTCTCTGTTGAGCACAATGAACAATTCAAAGTATACCAATGGAGTCCAAACTGCCAATGTTCTGCTCTCCCTGAGACTTGTTGGGATCCAGAGTCAAAACCTACAGCAAAAGCTGATCCAAGAACTCCAAGAATATGTGTCAAGGGAAGGTAAGTGTCTATCTTCTCCGAGAGCTTTCAGAAAAGAGCCACCTATCTAAAATATTTTCTCTAGAAAATCCTAAATTTTATGTGATCAAATCACACACACACATACACACACACAAAATAGTCCAGGAAGACAAGAGACCAAGAAAATCATAAACATATACCTTGTCAAATATATATACTTCTCTTTTCAGGGCCAAGTTTAAGTTCTGGACAACTTGCCTGGACTATAATGGCTTTGGGAGCATGTCATAATCCTGATGGCTTTGGGAACATGGCACATCTGGTCAAAATGCTAGAAGAGAAATTCCAAGAAGAAATTGAAAATATGGGTGAGAATAAAATCTTCAGAAACGCTAGATAACTATTTTTTTCTCCCCCACTAATTCTTAGGAGGGATCAGTCCCTGGAGGGAACTATGTTTGGCAGAGGGTCAACCAATAAAAGGAAGACCCTTAATGAGATGGATTGACGCAGTGACAGCAACAATTGGCCTAACCATAGCAATGAATGGGGAGAGCACAGGATCCGACAGGGGCTTGTTCTGTTGTGTGTAGGGTCCCTATGAGTCAGAACCTACTCAATGGCACCTAACAACAAACTGACTCACAACTGCTTACAGTTTCCCTTCATTCTTTCCTTCCAATCTTTATTCTATTCGTCCCACTATTTATTTGCAAGTCACTTTCCCTTCTTCCCTCTTTCAATATACTTTAATTTTCTTTTCAAACTTGTTCAACCAACCCTATGCCCAACACTGTTTTATATATGACAACTTGAATAGCACAACTGACCCTAAACCACTCATTGTTC